ACCACCCCGGTTTGAGCCGGCCTATACGTGCAACAGCAAAGCTGCCGCGTGGCTCTACCACTATTAAATCACGAAGTGCATAACTATGACCTTCAGCCGTGTACTATCTCCAGTTACGTACCAATACCAGATTAACGGGGTACCAATAGCGAAAGTGTCAAAAGTCAAAGATCTAGGGGTTAATTTCTCCTCTAAACTAGAATTTGGAGAGCATATAACCAAAATCTGTAAGAAAGCCTACTACCTAGAAATTTGAGATTCGTACTACGGGTAGCTAGGGACTGCACTAATATAAAGGCAGTTATTGCATTATATAATTCTTTAGTGAGGAGCCAATTAGAATTCAAAGCGGTCATCTGGTCTTCACATGAAACTAAGTACAGTATCATGTCGGAGAGAGTGCAGAATATATTTATTAGATATTTATATCAAAAAATGTATGGAGTATACCTATTTTACCCAAATAAGTATCCTACCTTATTCACCTTAGGTATGGTAGGATACAATGAGCTAAAGGTTAGGAGGAATTTAGCGCTTGTTTCATATATATTTAAGGTGATGAGGGGAAAGATTCACAATCCAGACGTATTGCAACAAGTGCGCATGTGTGTTCCGGACAGATACGTGTGGCGGCGGCGGCGGCCGCTGCTGCTATGCCGCTCGGACGCACTAAGCTGGTGACTGAAGCGCCGTTTACGCGTGCCCTCCGTATCCTCAACCGTATAGCAGAAGACATAGATATATTTTGTTGTACTCTGGGTGGGTTCGTAGTAAGAACTCTATTTGAAATTAGTTATGGTCCTACTGTGATATATATACGGTGTTTGAAATGGCAATAAGTACATATTTATAATCGAAAATTATTAGCTTGTAACGTTGTAGTTGGAGTTGGTAAAAATAGTTGTCTACATTATCGAACTAGGTGATAAACCTGTAAAAATAATTGTATAGTGGGAAATAAATAAATAAATCTCATGTATCAAAAGCTTAGGCCTCACAATGTCTAGATTACGTTCCAGATAAATGGGCAGATGATCCGAAACAAACAGATCTTCTAAAATCTTTACATTCTCAATGGTATGTCGAGAATAAATAGGGAAAAAATAGGGAGGCCACGCAGTGGTCAATCCAGGTCCTTATACCATGGTACGGGTCGATAAATGTGTACCAGTTGGTTTTTAATATTTCTACATCCGCACAAACCCAAGATGGATCCGTACGGGAACCACTTAGCTCTCTATAGAATAGCTCATATGGGTAAGCATTAAAATCACCTAATAGATATGTACTTTCTACATCGCTGCTATCTTCAATCGAACTTATTTCACTTAGAACTTCAGTGAAAATGGGCAGGTTTACGTAAGATTTTGTTGGCATGTAAACTGAAAATACTAAGATAGTACGACCTCTTATAGTAAGTACCTTTGATAGCAGCTAGACGTTTACTATTACATCCACAGGGAAACTGAATATTACGTGCACAAAACATATTTTATAAAAGTTATTTTAAGACAAAACACAAAACACAAAAACAATATAAAATTAGTAAAAAATATTTCATTCGAGAAAATCAGACGATTTTCTATACATTAAAAATACACCATGGAATTTCGTGCCAGCTAAGAACTTCGGCTCAGATTGCATCGTGCAGTCGATGGTGTAAATGAACACAAACAAACACTACCACAAGTATTTCGGTAGTCACTTGATGATCAACCTATCCGTTCGTTTCACACTTGTGTGTTAGTTTTAAACATGGTAGAGCTACACTGCAGCTATGTTATGGTTGTAGCACAAATGGGGCTGCTCGACCGGGGTAGGATCACGCTCGAACATAATACCAGCGTAAATTAGCAGTTTAATGCTGCTGTGTTTCGTAAGGTGAGTGCAAAGAACCGAAGACCCTTTTCACTAGAAAAGAGACGTTCCGTCCTCAAGGGTGACAACGCATTTCAATTCTTAATTAAAGATAGAGGTGGGTGCCTATGGGCCACTGCATCTACTTACCATCAGGTGAACTGTCTGCTCGTTTGTCAACATTATTCTATAAAATACAATTGCTTGTTTTGCTAATAAATCTCATTCTCCTGAACGTGCTACAACGATATTGTTCTCATTGAGTGAAGTAGAGTTTAATAAAGTATTAAAATAGACTAAATTGAAATGCAAATATATATTCATCTCTATTTATTTAATTTAAATATTTTTGATTTTATGTTGACGTTATTTTTTCTATATGAAATGAATTTAAATGTGAAATTGTAAAACAATTAATGAAAAAACACAAAAAATAATGTAATTGAATCTTACAAACAGTACAGGATCAAAAGGAAGACTTAAAAATCAAAGATTCTCTTCAACTCAAATTTAGGGCGGTTAAAAAGAACATATATGCTGGATGACCTTTTTTAACGTCTGGAAAAAAATAGGGTATAACATGTGAACGGAGTAGAAGCCTATGGCACTGACATTTTACAAAAAATAAAACAAAAATTTTAAATTAAACATGTGAAAAAAAACTTTGGCCTTTGCCCTTGAGCCTGTGAACCTACGAAGTGACAAGGTGAAAAATGCATACTAAATTTATTGTTTTATTGCCGTTCGTAAAGTAGGCTTAAATGTAAAAAAAAAAAAAAACTGTAGTCTTAACTTCTTAGGCAGGCGATTCCATAGGCACGCGGCTTGCACAGCAAACGATGAGAAGATACGAAACCAGAAGGGACGATAAAATAAATAAATAAATTAACTAATTAAATTAAATAAATATATAAATTTTTAAAATAAATTTTTGACCTTAAACCAATGTACTACGTTCGATAGAGATTTAGTTTATGGAATATTTACAATTGTCATAATAGATGACTTTTGTTTGAGTTTAAAATTAAAGAGATATCATCATCAAACAATACTATATTGTGACTGTCCCCTATATTATAAGGTAAGCTATTGTTATAGATTAAGAATAGGAATGAGCCAAAAATCAAGTCCTGAGGAACCCATTTATACCTACAGATCCAGAGAAACTCTTACCATTGATAACGACCTTTGGAGTTCTGTTACTTAAATATCAAATAGGGGAAACGGTATAGTCATTGGCCCCCATGTAGTTATTAGCCATTTCAACTTTGGTTCTAAAAACTAGCAACGTCGTTGTTAAATGTTATATATTAATATTTATTTTAGCAACACAGTTGTTGACTCCCAAAAAGTTTCGTCAAAACGTCGGTAGGTGAATTTGTCCTTTTGTAATCGGGGATTTCTTCGCGACGGTACGCAATCAGGTAAATTTGTTAAAAAAATGTTAAGAGTAAGTTTTTTTAAAAGTGATATTTTAACCATACTGATCATAGTTGAGTATTCGCAAATCTGTATAATATATAGTATTTTAAGCACATGTTAAAACTGAAAAACATTAACATCTTCACATAACCTAAAAATATTGTGGCCAATTACTGTATCAATTATTTTAAAAGTTTACAGTAATTGCCCAGTAATGCCAATAACTATACTTATCTGATACTGAACAAATTATGTTTATAAAAAACTAAATTTCCTTTATTTTTCGATATTCACCGCCCATTCTATTCTCATAAAATTTAAAGATATATTAATAGTTATTGGCCTAGGCCAAGTACTGTGTCACATGTAATTCTAAGTAATATAAAAAGTAGGCCAATTACTATAATATTAATTCATTTATTTTATAAAAATCACTACTTTTTTTTCTAACAGATTAAAGGATAAAGAATCATGCCAAAAATACCTCACTATTCGAAAGAAGCGCTAGACGAGGCTTTAGAAAAATTCATACTAAAACAATGTCTTTGAAAGCTGTTGCAAAAAAATATAACATTCCAAGAGCAACTTTACGATTTAAACTAAAAAACCCTACTTCAAAGTCTGGATTTGGTCCAATACCCTGTTTAACAAAACATGAAGAAAATTCCATTGAGGAATGGTTAATTCAAGTGGCCCCCAAAGGCTTCCCAAGAAAATCAGATGATGTACTAGACGGCGTTCAAAAATTTTTGACTGAAAATCCAAGAGAAACTCCTTTCATTAATAATAGGCCTGAACAGGGATGGCTGAAGGCTTTTTTAAAACGACACCCCACCTTGACCCAAAGAACTAGCAAAAGAGTAACGAAGGCTAGTGCTTATGTAGCTGAATGTGACATTAAGAAACGGTTTCAAGAAATAAGAAACTACCTTACTAATGAAAACCTTTTAGATGTTGTTCAAGATCCTCGTCGGATTTTTAATGCCGATGAGACAGCATTCCAGACGTGCCCTTCAACTGGAGTGTCCTCGCTGCAAAAGGAGACAAAGAAACTCTAAAGAAAGTGTAACCGTTCTCTTTACTTTCTCTGCTGATGGCATAACATGCCATCCATTGATAGTATTTCCATATAAGAGGTTACCCGATAGAGTAGCATCTTCGGTGCCGCCAAAATGGGGTATCGGCCGTAGTGATACTGGTACGGGGTGGATGACGGCGGACGTGTTCAATCAGTTTATAACGGAAATATTTGCTCCATATCTTACCGAACACAATATACCAAAACCAGTAATTTTATTTATTGATGGCCACAAGAGTCACATTACACTACAGCTTAGCTTAACGTGCAAAGTGCTAGGCATAGAGTTGATTGCACTGTACCCTAACACTACCCGTATTACTCAACTTGCAAATGTGTCTGTTTTCGGACCAATAAAAAAGATATATAGAAAAGAAGTAGCAAAATTTCAGGCACATAACATGCGCGAGGTAGTGACACAATTAAATATTGCCAGCATTTTAAAATCTGTTGTAGAAGAGATAAAGCCCGATAACATAATTAGTGGCTTCAAAGCCTGTGGCTTGTAGCCTTTTAATGAAAATGCTATAATTACACTAAATGTCTAGCAACAAATAATAAGGGAGAAGAGTCCAAAGAAGAAAATAAAATGATGTCTCTTAAAGACTTTGAAAGTATAATAGGAGAAGAAATAATTAGCAAAATGAAAGTTCTACAATCTCAGGCAATTCTCCTACCTTGTACAAGCTTTCCACTGAAAGAATCAACAAATGTAGAAATACAATCTCCAATAAATACAATAACCAATGTAAATCTGAACAACGAAGATAATGTGACAACAGTAAAACTCACCACGACTCCTACAAAAAATATTGTTTTAGATTTATCCACACCATCTACATCAAAAGATAAGCCTCACTTTAACAAATCAATCAATGAATACTTACAAAATCCTCCAGTAAGTAAAAGAAAATTTATCAGGAAGACAGAAAAGAACCCTTATCTAATAACTTCCGAGAACTTTAGAGCAACTACTGAAAGAAGAGAAATTGAGAAACAACAAAAAGAGAATGAAAAAATTGAAAGGAAAAGAAAAAGAGATGAGCAAGCAGCCACTCGGAAACAAAACTCAATTGAAAAGAGAAAAAAAGGGAAAGGCGTGGGGAAGACATCCATAAATGAAACCACTAAAAAGGAAACTGAAACTGTTACTCCTCTAAATGACATAGAGAGAAGCACTAGTAACGTTGAGACTGTAAATAAAAATGTTTTAAGTGAATCTACTAATAAAATAAAGATATTACACAACATGTTACTGATTACTTGTAAGTCATGCAGACGTCTAGCTTTAAAAAGTAAATCTTTATTGTGTAGTTCATGCAAGAAATCGTATCATAATCAGTGCATTCCTATTAAGCACAGAGAGCATATCCCAGATGAAGAAGATATTTTAGATTTTATATGTCATAACTGTTACATAATGAATGATGACTCAGAGGATGAGGTCAGTAATAATATGTATTAATTCAATGGATGGAATTATACAAGAATCGTTTTGTTAAAGTGTGTGTGATTTTATTTTTTGTTTACTATGATTAATAGTAGGAGAGGGTAAAGCCAAAAATATAAATATGATTCAGTTCGATAATACGTTCCTAATTCTTAGTAGATGTGAGTTAGTTTTATTTTTTGCTTTGTATGGCCGATAACTGTCCCAATTTCTGGCCAATAACTGTAAATATGTGGCCAACTACTGTAAATTTGAAGATTGTGTTTTTGTTTTAATTTTATTACGAAAATATAGGAAATAAGAATATGTAAACAATATTTTTTGATTTATATACACTAAGTGAATATAATTAAAAATATTTTTATTTAAAACTATAATTTTTTTATTTTATTCTTTACAATTGAAGTTATAAGGTAGCTTAATTGGCAAATAACTATACCGTTTCCCCTACCTTGGTAGATCACAAAATATATCTGAAGTATCCTGTGAATCTTGTGAATTATCCCAGTCATTAAAAAGATATTTGATAAACACAACATCTATGTTAATAAAACTAAATTGATTTTTATCGAGTCATTAATTTGTGTAAAAAAAAAAACACTTAACATGTATGATCAAAAATTATTTTTTTTTCAAAACTTTACTGAATGTTAGTAGTAGAGAAATAGGTCTAAAATTCTCGGGATTAAAATGCGATCCAATTTTTTTTAAATTATAGTGTGTACCTGTCGGATATTATTTATACCAAAAACCCCCCCCTTAAGGGCAGTACCTATTAAATGTCAATTTTAACAGTGATAGAGCCACGTGGCAGCGTTTGCTGTTGCACGTATGGACCAACTCGATCCGGGGTGGTACTCACAGAAAACCAGCGAGAAATAGAAGTTCTGCTTCAGCATTTCATCTGGTAAGTGTAGGTGGCTGAGGGCCCAATCCCCCCCCCAATCAACATTGTAGTGGAATCATCAAATGAAATACTATCCCAGGAGGGTACCAGAACCCCTGGTGATTGAGAATCCCTCGTTGAGCATCCACGACCAAGCTTTTCTACTCCTGAGGGTCGGGGCACAATTAAAGACAAAAAATGCAACCCCTGACACGCTATCAGTGAATTTCTGCAACATCAGATGGCTTCACTCAAACATAAATGCCACCATCCACAACCATCTGGAGAGAGAGGTCTTTGTCTTTCTTGCCGAGATGTCGGTGTCCTCTTCGACTGATACTTCGCACCTCTCCTACCCGGTGTACAAATTGGAACACTCTTTTGTGCCTTGGGCTAGAGTTTGAGTATAGGTTAGAGAGGGCATCTGTTCTTGACGCCTCGGCAGTCGGTAAGATCCTTTGACTACGCGTAGACAACAACGACCATCCGCGATGTGAACACCAGTACTCTTAAAAAGAAGTGTAATTCCACCTCCAGATCCTTCAAAAGAATCATTGCCAAAGCTACACATGCAGAAACAAAATCGCCTTCCTTCGGGAACCCGTGCATTCTGGTCTCTCGCCATGACTGGCCAAGGGAACTTCTGCCAACCATCTCACGATGACGGGAGGAGCACACCGTCGACCATCTCGCGGTGTGTGTGCTCCATTCCAGTTGTGTGGTTCACACAGCGTCCGGTTCGCAAAGCACTCTTCTCACTGGACGTCAACAAGTCGAGTAGGCCTGACGGAATCCCCGCAATTGTGCTGAGGACGCGCGCTCCAGAGTTGGAACTGGTTCTAACGTAACGTAGTTCCAAATTCATGAAGGGCAGCTTTCGTACACCCGATCAATAAAACAGGTAACCACTCTGATCCGTCCAATTACAGGCTATCGCCGGCAACGCACCCGCAATTCCCTTGGTGTTGCAGTTATTCATGGGCGGCGGTAGTCACGCACCATCTGATGGTGAATGATGTGTGATGATGAAGCAAAACGTTTTTAATTAAGAATTTTGGCCTGGACGGTTGTCTTTTAAGCCATGTCGACATTTTATTCGGGATCTTCGTTTTTATGAATTTTTCTTCACTTTATACTGATGCATCACCTTCTCACGTTTTTGGGAGATTTTGACGACAACTCAACGAACGGACAATCGATGAAGACATTCACTCAAGTTCATAAGACGCCTAAGTGATCGAAATAACATGAGGTTTATATCTACATCGAAGCACTTGTTTCGTCGTTTTATCTGACAGTTCACGTCCACAGACACTTAATACACAAAATCGCATCACTTTTACGAATTAAAATCCATTTCGTGCCATTATTTAAACGATAAAACAGCAGCAACAATCCGTCGATGGTCAAGCTCCTACCTTCCTATATATAAAAAAGTACTCTGTGCCAAAACCACCACGTTTTTAAATATTTTTTGTATTTTGTCTATGGTAATAGATAATGAACGCTATTCTTATAATAAAATAGTCTTCATTACTAAAAATAATCATTATGTTGATATATGAGGCAAATATGTAGAGATTTAAATGGAACAAAAGATATATATTTAGAAAAACGATTGAATAGGATATATTCTTAAACTAAAAAAGCATTTGAATATTATCTGACACGACTGAACAGGCTGTATGGTGGTTATTGATCACTGCCTGTTCCGAAGGAGACAACTTGGTTACTTCAAGTTTCAAATTGTCATGCGTATAGATATATAAAAAAACAGGAAGCAAAGGGGTGTGCCTGTGTTCGCGCGGTATGATCAAAATGCTCAGCTTCGATCCTTCGATACAAATGGCAGGCTCTGCGTATTAGTGCGCTTTCGACCGTAATCGTGAAACGTTATCAGAATACCATGTTGTTCAGTGGTTTCTTGTAAAAACCGAAGCCAAAACAAAAACTTTGTTAATCATGGAATCACTTACCATACCTAAGTAAAAGTATTTCATTACATTTATCTTTAAAATCATATTAAACAGCAAATCGTAAAATATTTCTTGCTCTTACTACGTTATTTTTGGTTTCAAATATCACAGCCACTGTAATATTTTTGCAGTAATTACATTGCTCCATAACCACTACCTTAGTATGACGCCAAGTGACTGAACAAGCAATGTAAATATCACGAAATGATACTTTATTTATGCAGATATATGGCGCAGTATGGCCGCTGTATCTTGCGACGAGCTAGTTATGTGCTTGTGTAGATCCACTATCGACAATAATGTGGATCGGAGAACTGTTATTATAGTTTATTCTCCAATTTGTCAACTGTTTCAACCCGATAGAAAGACCGATGTGACATAATGTTTTTTACTTATTTTGATTATTTTACAGCAACTACTACGCTGAATGCGTAAACAACGGTCGTAAAGTTGATTAAATTTTAGGTTAATAATCGATAGAGTGTTAGGTTTGAATAATCGTATATTATGCCTTATCTTCAAAAGATGTTCATACTTTTTATGGTTTTGGGGTTTAACACAATTTACGGTTTTCAAAAGCTACGAACGTATCGTAAATACCTAACCGGCATGGTTCGGATAGTATCATAATAGTGACTTAGGCTTAAAAATTAGTCAATATAATTATTCTTGCTATTTATTTATTAGGCATGAGTGTATATTTTGTTTTCATATATTTAACAATATTTTCACTAAGCAGGGGTTTTTATAACAAAAGCTTGCCAGGCAAAATTTGCTTAGTACATGGTGAGGTTTAGGAGAAATTTAGGATATATGAAAATATAAATAGGTTATTGTCGTATCTTTCAGCTTCACAAATTATGCTAATTTAAAAAAGGAAGGGATTGATGCCACAGGAAGACTACCTAACTGGTTCTCTACAAAAACTTGTACTGGTCGTCGTAATTTGTATGAGAATGAAAATTATCATAAAAACAGCTTGTCAAGCCAATGATAAATTAGCAATTAAAACTAAAAAAAAGTCAAGCAGAAACTCATGGCGAAGACTTTGCCAAATTAAATTTTTTTTAATGTTAAGTTTCACCAATTTGAGCAGTCCCCTATAAATATTCACATTATATTTCTTATAAAAGCAATCATGGAAAAATACTTAATTTATAAGATTACACTATTTGACAAAGAATGCCACCCTAAAAATATCAAAACGTCACTGTGCTGCACAAATACCTTCACTTTACAAGTCAGTGAGAAAATACTACAGCATGGTTTCAAAATACCTACTACATCAATCCGCTATGATAGCATTTTTACAATTTTTATTACATTTTTACCTAAATATTATATAATTACTTTTATTACACTGTTCTCTGGACATATGGTATTTTATTTATTTTATATTCAGGGCCCAAAAATTTTTTGTACAATTTGGTATAAATGAAACAATCATTAACTTTCCAATTTAGTCAATCACTAACGCATATGTAAAATAAATGGCTTTTTTACAGCACAACGATAGTGACCGATATTTTTGTGTGAGTAAGTAGGTGTATGGTAAATGCACGCTATGCTTTCAGAGATATGGTTTATAATTGATTGTGTAGTAAGTTCTGATTTATAAAATGCAAGTTTGCGCGCGACTGTGTATCTATTGCTTTTACTGATCTGCATATGTAGTAGTTGGCACGTGGTAGGGGCCAACTGGAGACACCGGGTTCCGATACATTTTCAACTACTGGGCATATCTCCTTATTTCCTATATCTATGTTCATGCGCATTCTATATACATATCTATTTATGTGCGTATTTGATATTGTGGCTGCGTTTGTAATTTCGTGTTTTTGCTTTTCTGAATTTAGTTAAGTTGGCCCTCAGCTTTTTTTTGGATTACAGGACAATAGATTGCTCCACCCACATAATGACAATAATGTAATACTTGGGTTGTGAGAGGAATAGAACAGATAATTTTATGCTTGCTGCTTTTCTGGATGAAATTTTATAATTAATTGCAGAAAAAAATTTATCAATGTGATAGGTTGAGTTTTACTTTACTTTATTTAATAATTTATACAAAACTACATTCTTTTTGTCCTTTTCAATTTATTCAAAAAACATCACGAGAACGAAGTATTTTACTACATAATCTAAAAATCATAAAACATAAATTAAAATAAAACCCCAGGTCTAGCGAGAATATGATTTATTGACATACTAACAGATATTTAAATCTTCAAAATAAGATTAATTTGAACTTTGTTCACGCTGGTCTTCAGCTTGCAAGGAATCAAGTTAATCTCCTTTGCGTGATTAAAATACAAATCAGACTAGGCTGTACTGTATAAGACTTTTGACTATCTTTATTGGCCACTATGAATCTTTTTCTTGTTTTTGATGTCTGAAATATGCGGAAATATGTCGGTGTCACTGTCATTAAGTTTGACAGTTCAGGGGCAGACGCGTAATTATTTTGTTTTCCATTTTGGAAATAAAAAATAGTTTGCGATTTTCATTAGTTTCCTTGCGATAATGGTAAATACTCGTTTTTCATATTATAATTATTGAAATTGATTATTATGTTTTTTAAGATTTAACTTGCATGTCTTTGTTTTTCTAGGCGGGCTATTCAGAAGATCAGCTAGCTGGTGAGTCATACTCAAGATAATCATCTTGATATCAATTCTAATACAAAATTATTCGCAATTTTAATTATGTAAATTTTAATGGTATGAAACAACTGTTGTTAAAAAAATTATGAAGAAACAAGTCGTTCAGTACGGCCGAGAGCGTCGCGTTGCCGTTTAACTGTGACTCATGTCAATCAACTTTACTACCGAAAGCGTCGGCTTTTGCAAGCGCCCTAGTTTCCTTATATGGTTTGTATTTTAAAGTAATTCTGATCGGATCTGGTCGACCTCGCGCCTTACGCAGTACTCTACTGTACGTCGTTCTTCCATCATGTTCATGTACGAACCCCCAACTAAACTCAAGCTTACTTCAGTGGAAGGTACATTTCTCTTTATAGATTGTCAATTTTAATAGATTACTTTATTTAATCTGGTGTTTGTTGCAGAGTTCCAGGAAGCATTCCAGCTGTTTGATTCTCGTGGTGATGGCAAAATTCATGTTGCTCAAATTGGGGATGCATTAAGAGCTCTAGGACAAAACCCAACAGAGTCGGATGTTAAAAAGTGCACCTTGCATCTAAAGCCTGATGAAAGAATTTCCTTTGAGGTGTTCTTGCCTATTTACCAGGTACTTTTTAATCACTTTTAGTATATACTTGAAAGCACTACAATAATACCTCAAAATTATTATTTATAAAACCTTACATTTCATATACATAAGTTAAAATTTGCAAACATGTCAGTAGTTTGAAGGGTAATTAATGCTTAAAATGTTTCACCTAATTTTTGGGTGTGTTAACAATGTTCACAGTTAAAGAAACTGAGATAAGTTAATTATTTTTAAGGTAATTAATAGAGGTATTAGCATAATTTGTTGATTAAAATAAGGATTTTATCATTTAGTTAAATGCCTATTATTCCTTATTTTATAGGCAATATCCAAAGCTCGTAGTGGTGACACAGCTAATGATTTTATAGAAGGTTTACGTCACTTTGACAAAGATGGCAATGGCTTTATATCATCAGCTGAGTTGCGCCATCTGCTCTCTACCCTTGGGGAAAAACTTAGTGATGATGAGGTAAGGAAAAAAACATTGTAACTTACATAATACATAAGACCATGATTCCATTTGCAAGAAAATATGTGTGTGTAAACTACATAGCAAGCATACATGTGACAGTTTGTCAAGTGTTTCCTTTGAGTAGTTGCTAGTGCAATAGATTGCTAGTCTGAACATGTTTACATAGGCTCGCAACAGATCTCACTGCATATTGTTTTAGTTTCATATATAATGCTACGAGTACAGTCAGAGAGATCCATTGTTGATGAGCATCTCTGTCTATAGAATGCTTTAGCCACATCCCATGTTACGGGCTGATTATTTTGCAATTCATATTGATGTTCATATTATCAATGAAAGGACAATAGGTGTGGCATTATTACTATATTTTATACAGGTAAACATTACGAGATTTATTTAATATTTTATTTATGTTGGTACAACTCACTTCAATCCTTTAATTATATATAGCTCTCTTGTGTAAATACCTCTGCGATAAATTGCAATAGTATAATTTGTGAGCTTCTCATGAGATATTTATTGCAGAATAAAATTACAAGAATTCATACAATATATAAAAGGTGTTGCAAGAAACTTTATTAAAGTTTTTTGTATGTGGCAGAGCTATGCTATATTATGATTGTAGCATGAATCAGTCAGCTCGACTGGGGAAGGGCCATACTCTAACAGAATACCAGCATTAAATAGCAGCTTCATACTGCTGTGTTTTGTATGGTGGGTGTAGAGAACCGAAGACCCTTTTTTTACTGGAAATGAGGCATTCCATCTTAGTCCTCAGGGGTGACAACGCATCTGCAATTTGGTTCTTAATCGAGGATAAATGTTGATGTCTATGGGCCACAGCATCCACTTACCATTAGGTGGACTGTGTGTTTGTTTGTCAACCTTATTCTATATGAAAAAGAAACTTATGCAAAACTTTTAAAATAATAACACGGAAGTTCTATAATCTTTGTCTATCTCTCTATGTATAATAACTAGTAGTTTATTCATTAACAAAGGAGCTTTCTGTAGTGTTATGGTTCTTACATATTGTTGGCCTAACTATGTGGTTGGTTTGAAATTATCAGCTGCTGTCTGAGAATAATACCACTCCTTGAGACAGCTTGCATGTCTGCAGACATAGCAAGCATATGCTGATAATTAGTAATTGTCTAGTGCTTGATAGGCAGTAAGATACATCAGGAAGCAGTTTCAAAACTACTTAAACAAAAGCTCTTGTATGACCTACAGATTTCTGTTTGCTCTAATGTTGGTTGGGCTGAAAAGTTCGTATCGTCTCTATGAGATGGCGCCACTAGAATAAAATCCATATCATTTTTAAATAAAAAAATAAAAAATAAAAAAAAAAATAAAAATCATTTATTTCGACCTTAAAGATCATATTTGTTAGTAACATATATAAGAAAAACACTAGTCTAATGTTAGTAAACTTAAAACTACCTTAATCTATATCTTATATCTAAGACAGCCCTGATTTGTCAGCACGTGCACCATACGGCAGTGGTTCAGGTACTGACAATCCAGCCTGTCAGCAAATGCCCTCAGGACGCCACTGGGACTATCCCTAACCCTGCGTACCAGGGATGTGCACCGCTTGCGCATGATCGAGTGAAAACAATCAACATGCGCATCAGCGAACATACCCGACGCACTGCAGAATCGAGGCAGTCCCATCAGCATCCTAAAAGCATTATTGTACTGAACGCGCAGAGCATTGTACTGTTTCTGCGTAAAATCGATCCACAGGCTGCTTGTGTAAAATGAAGAACAGTAAGCTCTAAATAGCGTTACTTTAACCGGGGTGGAACAACGAACAAACCTGCAAGCTATCATGTTCGCCCTAACCGACAATGCTCTGCTAAAATTTTTAGGTAGTACCAACCTTCAAAAGAAATGTGTATAAATTTGACAGCTGTCTGATTATTAGTTTGTGAGATACAGTATTTTGAGTGAAGCAACTTTTGTTATTTTGAAAAAAATGGATAAAAAGGAATTTCGTGTTTTAATGAAACACTATTTTTTGATGAAAAAAAGTGCTGCTGATACCAAAAAGTGGCTTGATGAGTGTTATCCGGACTCTGCGCCGGGCGAAGCAACCGTTCGTAAGTGGTTTGCCAAATTCCGTACAGGCCATATGAGCACCGAAGACGATGAACGCAGTGGACGTCCAAAAGAGGCTGTTACGGACGAAAACATAAAAAAAATCCACAAAATGATTTTGGAAGATCGTAAATTGAGGTTGATTTGTATAGCTGGCACTCTAAAGATATCAAAGGAACGTGTTGGACATATCGTTCATGAATATTTGGGTATGCGAAAGCTATGTGCAAAGTGGGTGCCGCGCGAGCTCACAATCGACCAAAAACAAGAATGTGTCCTTGCTTCAGAGCAATGTTTGGAGCTGTTCAACTTGAAGTGAATTTTTGCGTCGATATGTGACAATCGATGAAACATGGATCCACCACTACACTCCGGAGTCCAGTCGGCAGTCATCTGAATGGACTGCATGCGATGAACCGAATCCAAAGCGTGGAAAAACTCAACAGTCGGCCGGTAAGGTTATGGCGTCCGTATTTTGGGATGCACATGGAATAATTTTCATGGACTATCTTGGAAGGGGAAAAACCATCAACAGCGACTATTATATAGCGTTATTATATGAACATCAATATGAAAATACGGCCCCATTTGAAGAAGAAGAAAGTGTTGTTTCATCAAGACAATGCGCCGTGTCACAAATCGATGAAAACGATGGCAAAATTGCATGAATTGGGCTTCGAATTGCTTCCGCATCCACCGTATTCTCCAGATTTGGCCCCCAGCGACTTTTTCCTGTTCTCAGATCTCAAGAGAATGCTCGCTGGAAAGAAATTTAAAGCCGATGAGGAAGTAATCGGCCTATTTTGAGGCTAAACACAAATCGTACTACAAAAATGGTATTGAAAAGTTGGAAGATCGCTATAATCGGTGTATCGCCCTCGATAGCAACTATGTTGAATAATAAAATCGAATTTTGCCAAAAAAATGTGTTTTTCTATAAAACGATACGAACTTTGCAGCCCAACTGTTATATGATTGTTCCACTTTTTATGTGTGTGAGATTTAAAGATGATTTTTTTTATAGTAAGGTCTTATGTCTGTTACATGACATGATAAATTTTATATTACACAAATATGTTAAGACTCTGTGTTAATATTTCATTTTATGTATATACGGAAATATTGATCTAAGTAAATAATAGGTGTAATGTTTGCTGATCACTTTTTATACAGTGTAAGAAGTAAAGGTATGTCTCTGATAATAAGAGGACAAGATTCTTTCATTGATCTCCAATGTGTGTATCAGTAGAGTTTCTCCATGTTTGCGTTATATATCGTATCCATACGAAGTGTTCCGAGGAATTATTTGGATTAGTTCCAGCCCCCAAATTTCACAAATGCACATTGCTTCAAAATTCCCGATACCAGGCTCACCATCTGGGTGCTTGGCGGTCCACTACTGTATGTTTTACTAGGAGCTTTCTTCCTCATACAACTTCTCTGTGGAATTGTTTACCACTGGTGACTTTTCTGGACCAATATGACTTAGGGACCTTCAAGAAAAGAGTTTATTCCTTTCTAAAAGGCCAGCAATACATCTGCAATTCGCCTGGTGTTGCGGTTGATCATGGGCGGCGGTAGTCACTTACCATCAGGTGAGCCGCATGCTTGTTTGCCCCCTCTTCTATAAAAAAAACACTGTGATATTTTCTTTCACCACTAGCAAGTTATCAGCCGTCATTTAAAATTGTTTTAAAAATTTACTTGTGTCTGGTTCTAGCTATTGAATTTTGGTTGCTTGCTTGCTAGGAAATCATTTTTCAAAAGAAGTGTAGTAATTCTACACTTTTGGTTATAATCACATAAAAGTAACTTTTAATGTTTAGTTCAAGCTGCCATAAAAAAAAATCTGTAGTGTAGCACAAATGCGGTGCCACTTTACAATGAGGTGTAATATTTGCCAATCTTATGGCAGGGAAATTAATTTGTTAGGATAATGTTATAGGTTAATGTTTCTTTCTGTACTATTAGATATATTTCATATAAATTAGATTAGAAATGAATAAACCTAATTATGGATATTTGTAAAAGTAGAAAAATTAACGAGTTGAAAATATGCACAAAAATTAATAGGAAACAAACCACTGAGGCATTGTTTTGTGTATCAATTTATTACCCTTGAAACTGATAAACTTTTATTTAAAACTTTGCTTAATTAAAGGACATTGTGTAACTAAAAACTTCAGCTCAGTGTCAACTAGCTATATCTGGTGGTCAGATGATTAGCCCTCATTGCTATATACTCCCGAACAAATTAGAGTACCTTTATACCTGTACCCAGCAGTGGGTCATATACTAAGTACCAAGGCTGTAACTATATTTTATAACTTACATTTGGAACAAGGTAATATTTATAAACAAATTTCGCTGTGCAGGTGGAGCAGTTGCTTCAAGGTCAGGAGGACTCGCAGGGCAACATCAACTACGAGAACTTTGTGCACCTCGTCATGCAGGGCTAGGCCATGGCTTGTACAAATCCCAACATAAATAGTTATTAATTATTGTGACAAACTTAAAATTCCCATTGATATTTCCGTTTTCTCTAAAAATTCCAGTATGTTATTGTATTTGTAAGATATTTTATACAAACTTAGTGTAGGTATTTGATTGTATAAATGTATTTAATATTAAAACTATCGATATCATGTAAAACTTCAGTATTTTATTGTCACTTATGTCATATTTATATTTGTTAATTTGATAAAATATAAATATTTTTTTATTCAATAATTCAATATAAATTATTAGAATACCTAATAAACGTCTTTTATCACTAAATCGAAATAAAACCTCTGTCCTGGGAAGATCCAGAAATAACAGAGCGGATCTTTTTAACTGACTTAAAAAAAGGACGAGTTACTCAGTTTCATTGTCATCTTTGTTGGGTGTTATCTAGGGTTACCAACTCTCGAAAGGACCAACCCGGGGAATCTTACGAAACGTGCCATTGACCTTTTTTTCTATTCAGGACAGGTATTTCACTCGATTTTCTTCCCACAACTAGAATAAAAAAAAATAACAAGAAAATCTCACCCAAAGGTCTAACCTCATCATACACTTTGTCACTATCAAAGTCAAGCATTTTGACTAGCCGGCCCTAAAACGTTAACTATATAGCAAAGAGCATTAGCTATATAGCATATAGCTCCAAAGCAGCAATTCTTCCGCATGATACTGTTTTCGCAGTCATCTAGACTCGTCTTGACTATTATAGCTGTGATGATGTTTACCGTGGAAGGTTAAAGTAACTTCAGTAGCGGTAATTAAATCCTCTTCTTTACTGTTTTTAGAAAAAAAGACGTGATACCTTGATTTGTTTTAGTGTTCTTGATAAAGGTTTGATGCCATATAGAACCACGTAATAAAAATATTTTTTGTTTCTTTTCTTTTCTTTGGTCGCTTACTTTGTTAGTGGTAGGTAGAATTGAGCCACGCCCGTAAGGCGGCGTAAGCGGAGTGTTTAGGTTAGGTACAGCCACGCGTCGAGTAGGGTTTATCTTCAAGTTAATTCAATCAAGCCCAACAACGTTTAACCGAGACACGCGGTACAACTCAAGGACGGCTGGTCAAAGTTCAATGTCACAGGACAACGTAGCACAAACTACCACCGCGTCGATTCAATTAACTGCATAAAAGGTCCTTTAGTCACTACAAATTCCTAGCCGTCTCTGTCACGTAACGCGATCAACATATACACTAAATTCGAGGCGGTCTAGGTTATATTAAATCGTTATCAACGACCCGGGAACACCGGTCGACGCACCGGCGCGGGCGCAGCCTCGCGGCGGACCGGGTGCAGACGGCTCCGCCGCCGACCTTCCCACAGCTCGGCTCGATGCAGACAGGGTTGACTGCGCTGCGCGAATTATGCAGCTAGCCTCCTCCTCCCGCACCTCGCTAACCGTCCTTTCCCTCCGCTCGAGATAAGACAATCGGGCGTAAACAAATGGTAGCATAGCGTGGAGTTCTCTAATAGGAGGCAGTCGCCCCGAAGGCTCGCCCGCAGGTCCGCCCGTATAACTATGGTATTATTGCAGTCGAGCATTCATGCTATGATGATGCGAACGTCGTAAAGAATTAGAAGCGGGCTGGCGTAGCTTCGGCGGCGCAGAACCTGACGGTGGTCGGGGGATAGCTCCAAGACAAGCCCCACCACATTTAGCTCCACCACATAACTTGGTTGTACAGCTGCTGCTTACATTACCACCACTGTTCAACGAAACGGAAGACACTCCGGAGAGGGAAGATTCACCGCTGGTGATGGAATAGAGTGAGGCTGAGGCGGGCACTGAACGTGCACCCACAGAGTATCTCGACACCGAGCCGGGCACGCCTGATGACTTGCTGTTGGTACTTGATACCTGCCAACTCTTGCTGGTGACAAGCCGGGGCACCTGTCTCAGTCGCAACATCTTGGCACGGCAGATGACGCAGCGCAGAGGCAGCAAGCGCTGGCTCACCGCCATCTGTATGGTCTTCACGAAGCACCGTCTGCAAACCACGCTCTGCTACCAGGGCGGGGGCAAAATGTTACTGCCCCAGGCTACCCTGACTATAGTCGACTGCACTAGGGCCCATGGTAGTACAGCTCGACGGGTAGACAAGGGGAGGGTCAAAGGACCTGTAGAATATTAAGCTATAGCGGCTAACAAAGAATCAAACAAAACTTACCTTTTACCGTCGAAGTAGGGTTAACCATAGGAAGATTCAGGTGAAATAGTAGGTGTGTGTGGGAGTTGTGTTTAGTACGTGTTCAATGTGTAACCTGACATCCCCGCTGCTTGCAGTACAGCAGATCTAAAGGCGTCGCCTCTCTTCAAATATGGGATCCATCTAAGGGGCAGGCAGCCACAGAACACCTCAGCTTCCAGGAAACTATGTTCGTTTATCACTTATTATTTATTGTCCAATTAATTATCTTCAAGTTAATTCAATCAAGCCCAACAACGTTTAACCGAGACACGCGGTACAACTCAAGGACGGCTGGTCAAAGTTCAATGTCACAGGCCAACGTAGCACAAACTACCACCGCGTCGATTCAATTAACTGCATAAAAGGTCCTTTATTCACTACGTGCAGCCCGGCTCCGCCGCCGACCTTCCCACAGCTCGGCTCGATGCAGACAGGGTTGACTGCGCTGCGCGAATTATGCAGCTATGCAGCTATATATAATAGATGCAGCCTCCTCCTCCCGCACCTCGCTAACCGTCCTTTCCCTCCGCTCGAGATAAGACAATCGGGCGTAAACAAACCCCCGTCCCGGACATAAGGACCTATGTCCGCGAGTAAATTGGCAACCGGGATAGGGACGCGACGGCACGCTGCAAGACCGAATCTCCAACCAAGACCTCGGCCACTAATGCGACGGAGATGCGCTCTTGCAACGCCAACCACCGCCTCACATCACGGCCAGAGTGGGCAAGCCGAAGACTCGAATTTCTCCTGGATGCCCTTCCCGGACATCGCAGCCAACCAATAAGTCCTGTTGCAGGACAGAAATTCGACGACCTCCTTCAAATATCTACCAGTGCCCCTACAATCCGTTCCGCAATTCGGCCGGATCCGGTCCGGCAACCGCAACGCGATAAGAAGCGGCACAGCGTGGCCACAAGACTTCAGTGCTGAGGGTACTTGCAAGTTTCAAGCGAACGGCACTAGTGACGAGGCATACGAAAAGCACAGATAGGCCCGATGTAAACGCGCGTGGCGTAGGTCGGAGGACTTGACGAGGAGGGGGGCCAGCAAAGTCGGTTCCGACTCCAGCGGATGGTCGGATGGACCCGACGTGGTCGGGTGGTAAGTCACCCATCATCGGCTGCGGTATGGTGACCTTCAATCTACTACAAAGTATGTTCCCAAGAGTGACGCTCCGAATAGTGCGTCGGCCAGACAAATTCCAAAACTCCCGCTGCAAATTAACCGCATTCCGATGATGATGGTGAGTTATCAGCGACCAAGCACAATAATAAACACAAGAAAAACAAAACAAAAAAAAAAACACAAGAACAAACCAAAAAACAAAGTAACAAATTTTAAGAGCTACTTCGAAAATATATAAAATGTCACAAACTCCGACAGTAAGCTCTAACAAGAAAAACAAAACAAAAAGTAATAAATTTTAAGAGCTACTTCGAAAAAATATAAAATGTCCCAAACTCTGACAGTAAGCTCTACTAACAATCGTTAAACACATCCAATTTCTATTCATATTCTACTCGATAGGTGTACGCGCACAATTAGATTAATTGTGCGCGTTCACCTATCGAGTATATACAACATGAAGTGATCTCCTCTCGGGTCACATATTCCTAGCGTTTCAAAACTCAAAGGGGCCTATTGCCATTTAAAGCCCGAGAGACAATCAATAAGAGGTGCCTGTCACGCAGCCGAGCGCTTCACACGTAACAGTCACACTTTAAGAGTAGCTATTACAAACACGCAGTTCTATGCTGCGCTTCATCCGAGCCTCAAAGCATCAATGCTCAAACTACTATGCAACCTCGAAACAAACTATAGCAAACTTAATGCCCGGTGCGCATTAATCAAACAGATAAATTAAACAAAACGACAACATAAGTCAACCATTCCATTATTGGAGCAACCATATTTTCCAAAACAAATATCTCCGACAATGCCAACAAAATGTGATAACAAAAGTAGGATTAATTCTCATTTCCTTCGGCACGAATAGTTACTCAATTTCAATTTTCTATTCAACAAGAACATAATGATCCATATAGTTACAAAACATAGGTACACTTATCCCAAAGGCATTTCAAATTCACCTTTGTACCTACAACCGCTAACACACTATGAAACATTTCGCAGAAAAACAAACAAAAAATTTACCGCTAATTACGCAACATTTAGCGGAAAAATTACAGCAAAAATTGACATAACTACAAAGAACAATATCACTACAATGAACATAACATTTCATGTAAACCAAATAATTTTTTTTTTAAATCTAAACATTCCAATCTCCAGATAAGCCCTAGTCTCCCCACTAACCAATTGGAGGCTACACCGTGTTTGAACCCGAACACAATAAAGCGAGAACCGTTACTCAATAGCCACTCGGGTGGTACACCTTCCCTGATACCGTCGACAATAGAACCGTTTAACAAGTGGGCTGACGACTCAAAGATCAGGATAATACAATAATTCCCCAAATTGCAATTGGCACGCTTATGTGGCAACGGTAAATATAAACCCTACTCGACGCGTGGCTGTACCTAACCTAAACACTCCGCTTACGCCGCCTTACGGCCGTGGCTCAATTCTACCTACCACTAACAAAGTAAGCGACCAAAGAAAAGAAAAGAAAAGAAACAAAAAATATTTTTATTACGTGGTTCTATACACCGATCCTATCCGCTAACAAATAACACGCGAACAAACAAAAATTATTATTACGTATTGCAAACAAAACACAACCAACAGCTACGTGGTTACAACCGCTGTCTTGCTACCAACTTTACGTATTGAGCCGGGAGACCACGCTCCTGCTACCAAAATGTTACTGCCCCAGACTACCCTGACCATAGTCGACTGCTAATGGGCCCATGGTAGTACAGCTCGACGGGTAGACAAGGGGAGGGTCAAAGGACCTGTGGAATATTTAAGCTGTACTAGGGCCCAGGCTTTATATAGGCATTTTCACAGAAACATCTAGAATGTTCCAGCAAATACCGGTCCCGACCGACTAGATGTAGAACATTTCGAGTGTGGAGTTATCTAGAAAGCTTAGTTTTCCATTCGATAATAGATGGCGCTAGTGCCATGTACCAGACATCAGCTGTGGCGCGCAACACTGCTCCCTCATAAGACATGTCCCGAGCATTATCGGCCCTATAATAACGTGCCTGTCGATCCACATGGACGATCTTAGGAGTACCTCTTCCACCTTTCTGAAACGGCTCCGCAACGTCAAAGCAGCGTCCTGGTCGCGCAGGCGTAGAGTGAGAGCCAGTGGCGTAGCTAGGTGACCAAGGGCCCTGGGGCAAATCAAAAAATGGGGCCCTACTGCTATCTAAACTGGTTAGGTTTTATCAAGTAAAAATATTAAATATACAAATACTTTAAAAATGGTAAGCTGTTTTATCATCAGCTCTTTTTCGTGCACTGCAGGGCAGGTAGTAAAAATGTTAAACAGCAATAACATAAATTATAATAAAACAATTATATTTATAATCTTTTCCTTTTAGTTTTAGCAAAAGTATCAATGACTTCGGTTAAATCAAGGCTTGATGCGGGTTTGTTTTCAATTTCTATTAGCGATAAATGTCGGAGTCGAGTTTGGCCCATACTATTTCTTAAATAGTTTGACCTTTCAGCTGCTGCAGAAGTGACAGGAATTGTAAAGAATAATAACTTTGCTGTAAATACTTCCGTTAGGAAGTCCTTCTAGTACTCCATATTTGCTCATTATTTCCTTAAGTACATGATTGGTGAACAGTCCATGCTTGAATTAATTGAGGTAAAACTAGGTAGTAAATATTAATAAATTGAAGTGAAAAACTGGGGCCTATTATATCTGAATATTTTTTTTGGAATTCGTCACACTTTTGTAATAAAGTTGCTTCATCAACATGTAATAAAAATGTTGGTGTTAGAAAATCGAATATTTGACAGACTGCACACATACCAGTAAAACGTTTATTTAAATTGAGCTATTAATGTGTCTAGTACATTATTCAAAATCTCAATTTTAAATATTTCTTCTCTGATTGGAAATCGGTGATCAGCAGCTAACTCATCAAAATGTTTTTTAGCTTTCGTTTGCCTTTTTTCTTAAAAATGGGTATCCATATACCATATTTTCTTGCAGTTTCACTGGATTTGCACTAGAATAATTCTAAATAATTTTTATGAATTTGCAACTTTACTTTGGTCTCTGCTAAAGCTTTACTTGCCCCGCCCAAATTGATGTCGCATTTTTGTAGTTTTGGATGCATAATTCATGTCATTCAATACACTGCGCATGAATTCGCAAAGCAACATGAACTCCAAAGTTAGCATTTTTTTTTAATACTCTTCACTACGCTCATCGTTATTAGGACTTTTTAGAACTATTTCTGATAATTCTTTGATATCAAAAAACGAAATTTTATTGCAGATATCGTATTGACCCTACTGGACCATCTAGTTGGATTTAGTTTTTTTTAGAGTGGTGTCCGATTCGCCAGTAAATTTTACAGTAGATCCTAACATTTGATGCTTTTTCCTAAAAAGTTAAACAAATCTTGCAACGTTGCGAAAAAAAATCTGTATTTCCAGACAACTGCTAACGGCATCATTTATCACCAAATTTAAATTATGAGTGGCACAATGTATGTACTTCGCGTTAGGCTGGATATCCTTAATATGTTTTTGACACCATTATACACAACAATCATCACGCTGGCTCCATCATAACCTTGCCCCACACATTTTTTTAAATCAATATTTTTGTCAATAAATAATG